CCTTCCTCCCAGGCCGAGCTGGAGCTGTCTGGGGTCACGGGGCCTGGTGAGCACACACTGGGGTAGGGCTGGTGGTCGGCGGGTCGGGGAAGGCAGCCCTAGCCACCAGTGGGCCCAGTGTTCAGAGCTCCAGGTGCTGGGGCAGGTAGGTACTGCCCAGGTAGAAAAGGGCGAAGGGGGGTGGATGTCGCTGCCCCACACCGATCATGTCCCGGGTAGTACGGGAGTCTCCAGCCATGAGTGGACTCTGACTTGTGGCGACCCCACATGCCCTGTCAGGTTTTGAAGACTGACTTTTCAGAAGCAGATCACCAGACTCCTCTCCTGAGGGAGCACTGGGTGAGTTGGAGCCTCTGACTGTTGAACTGGGTGTTGTTGAGTCGGCGCGGATACTCATAGTGATCCTGTGCACCACAGAACACACACTGCCCGGTCCTGTGCCAGCTGCACAATTGTTGTCACCTACTGATGCTGCTACTCTGCCAGTCCATCTCATTGGGGGTCTTCCTCTTTCTCTCCGACTGTCCACTTTACCCAACATGATATCCTTCTCCAGTGACTGGTTCCACCAGACAATATGTCCGAAGGAGGAGAGATGAAGTCTGGCCATCCTGGCCTCCAAGGAGCACTCTGGCTGCACTTCTCCCAACACACATGTGTTGGTTCTTTTGGCAGTCCATGGCACTTTCAGTATTCTCCTCCAACACCACAACTCAAAGGCATCAATTCTACTACGATCTTCCTTATTCACTGTCCAGCTTTCGCATCCATATGAGGTTATTGAAAATACCATGGCTTGGGTCAGGCGCACCTTAGTCCTCCAGAAAGTTCCTGTGCAGCAGATTTGCCTAATGCAATATGTCCTTTGATTTCTTGACTGCTGCTTCCGTGAGTGTTGATGGTTGATCGCAGGAAAATGAACTTTTAAACCATAGATTTGACAACTTCAATCTTTGGACAACTTCAATCTTTTCTCCATTTATATGGATGTTAATTATTGGCGAGGATTTTTGTTTTCTTTACACTGAGGTGCAATCCACACCGAAGGCTGTGGTCTCTGATCTTCATCAGTAAGTATTTTAAGTCATTTTGGCTTTCAGCAAGCAAGGCTGTTATCATCTGCAGATCGCAGGTTGTTAGTGAGTATTCCTCCAATCCTGATTTCACATTTTCCTTCATGTAACCCAGCTCCTCGGAGTGTTTGCTCAGCATACAGATTGAATAAGTATGGTGAAAGAATACAACCCTGTATTCTTTGACTGGTAGTCAGTGCTTACCTACTTGTGCCACCATGGGCTATGGGCTGAGAGTGCATTCTGAGAAGCCCCCGGCTGTACTTCCAGCCTGCCAGAGCTGCCCCTCTGGCCCCACGTGAGCTCAGTTCTGTCTTGAAAACGGCATTGTCTCCTTAGCCTGTGGAGAATGAAGCACCCCACGGCAGGAGCCTCTACTGTTCTCTGAGTCTGAGAAGGCCCCATCCCTCAAGGATCCCTGGGAATCCACAGCCCAGTGAGCAGCCAACGCCCCTGGCGAATGCATGCACGAGATCCCTCACTGGCTGGTGGGGCACCAGGACTGAGGCTCTCTGCTGGAGTCTGCAGGATGGGGACTGGGTGAGGGGACGGGCTAGGGCAGTGGGCTCTGGGCGGCAGGAACTAAGGAGGACGTTCCTGCAGACACATGAGAGCATCTGAGACACTCGGGGAAGTGGGCCCCTCCCAGGTTCTGTCCTGCTCACCTGGACATAGGACACCTCAAGAGCCTCTGCCCAAGCAACGTGGCTCCTCTCTTGGCCCCCATTCCCATGATTTCCAGAATCAAAGTTCCTAATCTCCACAAAACCTTATCTTGGAAGTCCACAGCTAGGATTCTGCATGAACGATGTCTTTGTGGAGACGGAGGCTAATCCGAGCACGCGCTCCTCATGGCTGGGCCTGGCCCTGGGCACAGGCGGCCTCCGGCTTGTTGTGGATTACTCAGCATGCTTCTGTGGCTGCTAGCCTGTGGAACACTGAGTTTTAGGGATCCCCTACTCCAAGCAGGCACGTGTCTTGGTGCTCACAGAGCCCTGGGTGTGCATGCAGACACCTCTGTAAGACTAAGTACGCTAGAGTCACAAGTCCCTGACTCAGTGTACGCCAGACTCATTGCCTCTGCGTCAGTTACAGAGTACAACGGCCCCAGAGGGAGGAGTCACCGGAGTTGCTGGTGGGGGAACGCTTAACCACGGGCCACCAGAGCTCTGTAGGTATCAGTCTAGGGTGGTCTCTCTTCGTGGGGTGTGCCCATCCCCGGTTCTGACCCCTGTTCTGCTCTTTGGGTAAGTGCAGTGTCTACACTTGCTGGCCACAGAGCTGGTGACCCTGCCCCTGCCTTACTGGCCTGTCCTTCAGTCCCTCTTGCAGAGGTGTCCTGTCCCTGCCCTCCACAAGGGGATGGCTTCGCCTGAGCAACTGGCCCGTCTATGGATCACTTCCAGTTTCTTTCAGTTCCGTATCAGAGCAGATGTCAACGTTTAGCTGCCTTAGGGTAGGAACCTCCCAAGTTCACAGCTTCGAGCAGAGGTGGTGGTGAAGTGCTGGTGAATCGTTAGAGACCCTGTGTGGGGTTTCCGCGGAGCATCGGTGGATCTGAACCACTCACTTTCCGGTTGGAAGTCTGGTACTTACCCTACAGTACCACACCAGGAGTCCCAGAGGTGGTGCTTTTCTACCTAAGTTTTCTTTTTTCAGTCTGCCCCGTAGTATTAACATGCTGAGATTCCTGGTAGCTTTTTTCTTATACATGCCTACTTTCCATGTATTTCCTCTTGGAATTGGGTGTTGGTGAGAGACTGTTTCAATTCAGCAAACAATGTTTTAGCCCTTTCTCTAGGCTAGGTAGGCCCAGTGAGGAACAGGAACTCACCGGAGGCGGCAGCCACAAAGATCTGAGACCCCAAGCCAGGGACATGCTTTAGGAAACACCTCCCAGAGCAGGTGGCTGGGACCCGGAGGGTGACTTGGGGGTCTGGGAGAGAATGGAAGGACAGGATAGGAATTGGGGTGTGTGTGTGTGTGTGTGTGTGTGTGTGTGTGTGTGGTGTGGACTGCTTTGCTGCCAGGGGGAGGGGTGTTCAGAGCCTTGTCAGTCATTTGTTTGGGATTGTGCTGGGGCGGGGCGGGCGGAAACGTCACATGGCTGGTGAAAGTCTCCATAACCTGTGTTAAAAGGGCAGCAGAGCAGAAGCTTGGGGCCTCAGGAAGGTCAGCTGATGGAGGCTGCTAGGTAATCTGGGAGAATGGTGTGACTGTCTTGGTATCTGTCCCACAGGGGCCCAGCCCCTGGAGTCTACAGAGCAGAGAGCCATGGGACTTCCTGGGGTCGGTGTGGATGGCATGGGAGTTCCAAGTAGGGCACTCCCACAGAATGACACCGTTCCCCCTCACAGACTCACAGACTGTCTGCTCCTCCTCCGGGTGCAGTGGTCACACAGAATTCAGACGCTGTACCCACAGTCAGGGAGCTTACCAGGTAAGTTGGGTGAAGTCCTGTCGAGTTGTCTAGGGTTTATAAGGCTGTACAGCTGTACGGGAGCAGAAGGGCTCATCATTCTCCCCAGTGCAGCTTGGGGGCTCCAACACTTGACCTTGTGAGTAACCACTGTTTACCCTGCAGGTTGTAATTCAGGGCCAGTTCTAAAGTCAGAACAGCCTGTCCTCAGATGTGCCCACAGGCAGGCCCCTTTCTGCCCAACCAATGTTATAAAACGTTTATGGTTGTTGTTAGGGGCCTTCAAGTTGGTTCTGACTCAGAGCGACCCCGTGCACAGCAGAATGAAAGGCCAGGCCAACCCCCCCCACCCTCACGGTTGTTACGTTTGAACCCTGCCGCACCTCCGATGCAACTCCTTGGAGGTCTTTCTCTTTTAGGGCCACTGATAAATGTCCACAGGACACAGCCCTCCACCACGAGCCTCATCCTGAGGGTGTGTGGCTCTCGCTCCATAGGTCAGCACACCTAGCCCCCAACTTAAGTGCTCGTAGGCAGCCCACTCTGTAAGCAAGCTACCTGCCCAGCGTCCCTCAGCTGTACTTGTTCTGTGGGCTCTGCCTCGTGCTTGGGCTTTTGGTTTTGCTGCTGCCCCCTGGTACCACAGTTCCCTGTCCCTGGGCCGAGGACGTTCATTTTGCAGGGATCTCGGGGTCTATAGAACATGCTGCCCTCCTGACTCGTCTTTGATGGGAGTGGAATTCCTGCATTCCTGCTTCTGAGATGGTTCATTTTAGACCCCTTAGGGTTCCCGGTTTGTACAATCACAGTTGACCCTGCTAAACACTCACACCTGAACCACGTCAGTCCATCAGCATCTTCCCCCACCTTCTCTTACTCAGACTTGTTAAGTGCCCTTGAGTTGGTTCTGGTTCGTAGCGGCCCTGTATAAGGTTTCTAAGGTGCGGCTGGTGAGTTTGAATCACTTACCTTGCAGTTTAAACCGACCTTGTGGTCAAGTCCTTATCCTACAACACCGCACCAGGATTCCCTGCTCAGACCTAGAAGGGCAAAAACGTTGTTTGGTGGGAGTTACAAGACTGGGATAGAAGAGCCATGTGAAGTGATTCAGTGCTTTGCAGTGCCTGACAGGGCTGGGTGAGGGTGAACGGTGCATTCCCCGGGCCCCCTGTCTTTATAACACACCTGTGGGCAGGAGGACAGACTGCCTCTTCTGGGCTGGCCACGACAAGGCCTCGCATCCGCAGACGTTGTGGTGCCCAGAATTCCTGTGCATGGGCCTGTATGACTGCAGCTGGACGAGAGTGTGCTCGGCCCTGAGCTCTCGGTTCACAGGACTCCAGGAGCAGGACTAGGAAAGGTCACAGACAGTGGCCCACTGCCACTGGTCCCAAGCCTGTCCGTGGGAGAGGGGACTTGCTGCCACTCTAGGGACACCGGAACAACAAAGGGCCAGCTCAGCAGCTCTGCTCCACACACTTTGCCTGATGACCCTTTTGTGTTGGCAGGTGCTGGCAAAACCCCAACGCTGGGCAGCGGTTTCCATGTGAATCTGGGCAAGGAATCAAGAGCACAGACCCTGCAGAACGGTATTTCCCCCAGATTCTGCTGCTAGGCGGGGCGGGGTCCAGGAGGCTGAAGTGGGGGGCACCCTCTCCTGAGCCCGCCCTCTAAGTCTGGACTCAGCCCCCTCCTGGGTGCGCCCCAGGGCTGCTCAGCAAAGGCTCTGCGGAGTCCTGCTGTGGTCCAGCGGTTCCTATGGGTCTGGGTTAGGACAAGCCCCGAGAGAACAGGTTTACAGCAATTACACAGTGCAATGACAGGCCTTTGTAGTTTATAGAAGTTTTTATCTGCAACACATTGGACAAACGTCTGTTCAGATCCTTTGCCCATTTTTAAATTGGGTCTTTTTCATCTTGGGTTATGTAAGTTTTTTATGTGTTTTAGATACAAGTCCCTTACAAGATACATGATTTTTAGAAATCCTCTCCTGTTTTATGGGTTTTCATGTCACTTTCTTGATGGTATCTTTTGGAGCACAAAACATTGTTAATTTTGACGATGTCTGTTTTTCTTTTGTTGCTTATGCGTTTGTTGTATCTCTACAACTACTGCTGAATCCAAGGTCATAAAAACGTATGTTTTATAACTTGCTCTGACATTTAGGCCTTTCATCCACTTTAGCTGTAGATGGTGTGAGGTTGTTGTTGTCAAGCGTGGTCCAGTTGGTTCTGACTCATGGTGACCCTGTATAAAGGTTCCCAGGCTGTAAATCTGTAGGAGCAGAAAGCCTCCTCTTTCTCCCTTGTAGCGGCTGCTGGGCTCAAACCACCGACCCTGCAGATCACAGCCCAGTGCTTATCCTACAGAGCCACTGTGCTCTCACGGTGGGAGGTGGGGTCCAATTTTGTTATTTTGCATGTCGATATCCAGTTGTCCCAGCACTAATTGTTGAAACGACTATTCTTCCCCTCATTTAATCCGCTTGTCGTCCTTTTTAAGTATTACTGACCGTAAATGTGAGGGTTTATTTCTAGATTCTCGACTCTAATCCATTGATGTACATCATCACGCCAGTACTATCCTGCTCTGATTACTGAAAATGTTGGAGTAAGTTTAGAAATCACAAAGTCCGAGTCCTCTAACATACTTCTTTTTCAAGGTTATTTAAATGATTCTGAGTCTTGTGAATTGCCCCGTGAATTTTTGAATTAGCTGGCCAATTTTTGCCAAAAAGTCAGCTGGGATTTTTATAGTAATTGGTCCAGTGGGAAGTATTGCCATTACTTGTTAACAGTGGTAAGTCTTCAGATTCATGGGCATGGAATGTTCTTTCCATGTATTTAGGTCTTTAAGTTCTTTTAACAGTGTTTTGTGTTATCAGAGTATAAGATCTGTGTAAATAATTTATTCTTTTTGATGTTTTTGTCATTGGAATTGTTTTCTTACTATCTTTTTCTGATTGTTCATTACTTGTTGTTAAGTGCTGTTGATTCGATTCTGACTCATTGGGACTTTGTATGAGATTTTCAAGGGTATGAGCAGCCAGCCTTGTAGGGAGCAGCAATCCACACCAGGACTAGACAGCCAGTGACTTTTTAAAGTTGATCTTCAATCCTGCTGTGGATTCCTTAGGGTGTCCTGGGGACTTGATCACAGCAGCTCCAACAGAAATGGGTTTACTTCCATTTCCATCCTGGATTCCTTTTGTATCCAGGGTCCCCCCAAGCCATCTCTAAGTCCAAGGGCTCCCTAGGAGGGTGCCCTAGAAGGACTCTTAGAGTCTGATGTGGTGCTATAGGATAAGCACTGGACTGCTAATCACAAGGTTGGCAGTTCAAACCCATCAGCTGCTCCTCGGAAACCCTATAAGGGTCGCTATGAGTGGGAACTGACTCGATGGCTCTTGACAACACCAACAGGAGGACTTGCAGGACTCAGCATTTTGTCATCCTCCCATGTCACCCTTCTTAGCTTCCTAGACCAGACAAGGGTGTGTGTGTTCAGGGTGGTCTGCCTGCAGACCCTGTAGTCCTTCTTGTGGCTGACAGTTTATCCCAGTGAAAGGAGATGGAGCCAGAGTGGCCAAGGGGAAAGGTGTGTGCAGTGAGGTACAGAGGAGCTGGCACTCAGGATGTGCTAACGACGTTCCCAGCAGCACGTGGTGACAGCACCCGTGGCATGCCAGCCACCAGAGAAGCTCATCAGACTTGGGGCTTTTCCCAGGCACTAGTCACCTGGGCCAAATTCTAGACTCTCAGAAGGAAAGCCGTGTTCCACATAAGCTCCATAGGCAGGGGGCCACTCTCACCAACTCTAGGAATGGTGGAAGCCACCTCTCCATCCCCCAAATCTATGTTCTCAGGGACCAGCCCCGGGTGAGCCTCGTGGTCTGGTCGTTGAAGGAGCAGGGTGAGGCCTAAGAGCAGGAGCAGCCGGTCATCCCTGTCATGTTTCTGACCGAGGGAAAAAGTCAGCCTTTCTCTGAAAGGTATGATGTCAGCAGGGAGCCTTTTACCCTCTCCAGCCCTGGTGTGTCATAGGGTTAGCATTAGCATCGGGCTGCTAACTGCAAGGTCTTCAAACCCACCTCCTGCCACGCTGCAAGACCAGGAGATCTGCTCCCAGAAAGGCCAGCAGCCTCAGAACGCCTGAGGGACACTTCTCTGCGCCTTAGGGTCGCCCACCCTGAGTTAGAATCAACTGGATGGCAGCAGGTTTGTGTGTTCTGTCCTGAGTTTGTTGGATATTTTTATCCTGCTCAATTTTGTCAAATACCTATTGTACATTATCCAAATGATCATGTGTCTTTTGGCACTCTGTTAATGGGGTGCATTACATTAGTTTAATAAAACTAACCTTAGTCATGATGTATGATCCTTTTTTTATCTTGTGAGATTTGCCTTGCTAGGGTTTTATTGAGCCTTTTTTATTTTATGTCTCTAGCACTAGTGGTACTGTAGACAAAGCCAGCAGTTCAAACCTACAGACCAGTCCATGAGAGAGCCATGAGACTGTTTGCCCCCGTAAAGATTTACAGCCTGCGAGACGTGTGACAGGGTCGCTCTGAGTCAGAACCGATTGGCTGCGGTGGGATCTCTTCCTAAGAGATTTTGTTCTGCAGTGCTCTTCTCTTGGCATCTTTAGGTCTGCTTTTAGGGTCAGGGTAATGCTGGACTCATCGAATGAGTTAAGAATGACCCCTCCTCTTGGATTTTTAAAGAAGCATTTGTCAAGAATTGACATCAGTTTTTCTTTTAATGTTTGGTAGAATACACCAGTTGTTGTTAAGTGTGTTGAGTCAGTTCTGACTCTGTATAGGGTTTCTGAGGCTGTAAATTTTTTGTGTGAGCATACTCCTCACTTTTCTCCCGCACAGAAGCTGGTTGACAGTCCAGTGCTTACCGTGCAGAGCCACCGCGCTCCGCATAGCCATCTAGGCCTAGACTTTCCATTGTAGTGGTGGTTTTGTTACTAAGTCAGGGTCTTCACTTGTTGGATTTCTTTTCAGTTAGTGTTGGATGTTTGTCTTTTAGGGGATGGGTCTGTGTCATCGAGGATACCTAATTTATCTGTAGTTGGCATTTTTATTTCTGTAAGGTCAGCAGTGACATCCTCTCCTTCCTTCCTTCCTTACTGGAGTAGGTTGAGTCTTCTGTCTTTTCTTCTTGGGTTAGTCTAGCTAAAGTTTTGTCAATTTTGTTGATTTCTCAAAGAAACAACTCTTCTTACTGTCTGTGATCCCTTACATTATTTTCCGTTTTGTTTCATCTCTGGTGTGATCTTCATTATTTTCATTCTTCTAGCTTTGGTTTAGTTTTTCTGTCTAGTTCCTTGAAGCTTACAGTTGGCTTGTTGATTAGAAATCTTTTTATTGTAGGCGTTTCCTGCTCTATGTTCCCTTCTGAATAGGACCCTCATTGTGTCTTGTAAGTTTTGGTACGCTGTGTTTTCATATTTCGTGCTCATTTCCCTATTGTTTCCTCCCTTCAAGTACTAGTCCTTTAAGTATAGTGTCTTGTTTAATTTCCATGCATTTTAGTTTTCCATTTGTTGATTTCTAGTTTATAGTCAGAGAGGATACTTTGTAGAATTTCTGCCTTTTTATGGCCTAGCATGTGGACTATTTTGGAGATTGTTCTGTATGCTCTTGATATAAAATTCTTGGCTGACAGTTTTGTTCTTTGAGTATTTTAAAATACCCTTCCCTGTATTCTGATGCCCTGATTTCTGATGAGAATCAGTTGTTCATCTTGTTGCTGCGGCCTCCCATGTGAAGAGTTTCTTCCCTCTGGCTCCATTCGCAATCTGCTAGTTTTGCTTTTGACACTTTGATGATGATGTTTCACTGTGGGTCCCTCTGAGTTTCTCCTGCTTGGAGTGCCTTGCACTTCTTGGATATTATCTTAGTTATCACAAGTGGATGTCTTTAACATCTCTCAGAGTTTCCATCTACATTCAGGATGGCAGATAAGGGCAAGGCTTTCCTTCTCCGTGTGTGGAGTCTGGGGGAGGTCTTGTCTCCTTATAACATCTGTGGTCCAGTGTTCCCGGGAGAGCTCCGTATGTCTCAGCATCAGTCTTCTGGGTCTAGGAGCTTCTCAGTGTTCCACTTCCAGCTCTTCTTTTTGGTGGTAGATCCCTGTTTCTCTGCTCTCTCCTTTCCTTTTATTGTCTTACAACTCCTCTTATATCAGATGAAGGTGATGACCTGCTTAGGGGTGCTCTATCATATCAGCTCATTCGTGGGGGATGATTCCATCATCACCTAACTGCCAAACCACCAGCCAAGTTCACACACGGTTTTTGAGGACACAGTTCAGTTGATGACATCGTTAGATTCATGTATTTTGTCAAATTTGGGGAGTTCTCAACCATTACCTCTTCAAATATTATTTTGACTTGTTCTCTCCAGGGACTCTTGGATTACTTATGCTGGGTTGTTTGGTGGTGTCCCTTAGGATCTGAGCCTTTTTCCGTTTTTCTGGGGTTTTTCCTTCCTGCTCCTCAGACTGGGGCATTCCAATTGCTTGTCTTCAAGTTTACTGGTTCTTTCTTCTGCATGTTTGAATAGACTGTAGAACCTCTCTAGGGATTTTTAAAAAAAAAAATTTTTATTATACTTTGCAGCTCTAGAATTTGTTTTCTTTCTTTTAAGAAATAATTTATTTTATTTTTGTTTTTGAGAATATACAAAGCAAAAACTTACATCAAGCTAACAATTTCTACATGTTTTATAACAGTGTCTACAATTCAGTGACTTTGATGACAGTCTTCCTGTTGTACATCCAGTCTTCTTTCTGAGTTAATCCTGTGTTCCCATAGACTCGCAGCGTCCTAGGTTCTTGTCTAACCCTTCATGTTGTCAGTGTTGCTATAGAGACAGCCGTTAAAGGAGCACAGTGCATAAGGCGGACAGACATCCTTTACTAGAGAAACCAAACTATTCTCCAAGGAATACTTCTGACCTAAGACTTAAGGTTACCTCAGGGTCATAGTTTCTGAGCTTCATCCAGACCTCCCAGGAACACGGGTTCCAGAGAGTGTGGATTCTGATAGGGTTGGAAATTCTGTTCTGCATTTACCCCCTTTTAATCAGGATTCTGCTATGGAATCTAGTCTGCTCCCACCTCCCCTAAATTGGTACATTTTATTTGTATGTATTACATTCCTAGGAAAAAAATCCCAGGATTTTCCCTGCTGTGTGTTTTCATCTTGCTTCTGTGGTCCATGATACCATGTGAGGTTACCGGTACAATGAAACTGAACTGACAGGACAGTTTGCTAGGACTTTGAGGTGCATGTGAAATCAAAGGCTGACGGCACCACACTTGTCTCACCAGCCTGTGAGGCTCACAGCAGTTTCCTCCACGGTGATTATCTGTGATTTCAGATTTACCAGCTTAGCCATGCTTCCTCATCTTACTCAGAAATTGGACTAGAGCTGGGGGACACGGCTGGATGAGAACCTGGTGTTGGCCTCTCTCTTCACCATTAGTGATGCTCTGAAGAGTGTCGGCCAGCACGTTCATGCGCCCCATGATGGCGGCACAGAAAAATGTCAGAAAGCACTTGTGTAGAATCTGGTTAGAATGCTCAGTAATGATGGCCGGGCGCCCTCCAGTCCCTCTGACCTCACGGCACAGGAGCGATGTTATCATGTCTTTGTTGGTATCTCTCATGTCCGAGCATCGTGATCTGGATTTCCTTTTGTTTTCTGTCCCTGCTGTATGTCTCCATGTCCAGGGAAGCGGCAGATCCACCACCTGGGGAACCAGTTACAGCTGAACCAGCATTGCCTCGACACGGCCTTCAACTTCTTCAAGATGGCCGTGAGCAAGCACCTAACTCGGGGCCGTAAGATGGCCCACGTCATCGCTGCCTGTCTCTACTTGGTCTGCCGGACAGAGGGCACGCCACGTATCCTTTCCAGTGCCCATTTGGGTCTTAGTTGGACTCCGTCCACTGTGACTCCGCAGTTGAATCACTGGGGGCTCATGTTGATTAAGAGAGAGCTCGGGCCACAGGAGCTGAGTACAGCTCAGAGGCATTGGGGTGCTCTCCCCTACTCATCTCTCTCCACAGCCCTTGGGGAGGATGGACAAGTGTGTCTCTTCCCACTCTGGGGCTCACCCAGACCTGGGGGGCCCGACTTCAGCATCTTCCTGTTTGGCCCTGCCTTCTCATTTGAACAGATGGTATCAGGCTCTGAGGTGGCTGTAGCTAACTGGAGCACTGTTGCCTTTGATGGTTCTGGTTCTGGTTGCTGTGTGGGTGACAGGGAAATGGTTGTGAATTTGAGGCATGGGGAGCATGTGCCTCAGTTAGTATCCCTTGATGCCCCTGGTCCCTGCCCATATCCAAAGAAAGAAAATTGAGAAAGGGAAAGAGAGCGATTGGTGAAAATGAAGTCAGCTGATCGCTGGGGCGTGGCTAAAACAATCAAAACCAGATCTATTGCTGTCATCGATTACACATCATCACTACTGTAGTGATGTTCAAAGACAGAGTAGAAACCCCTCAGAGGGGTTTCAGGGACGTAATCGTCACAGTAACAGACTGCTACATTTTTCTCTCTTGTAGAGCGGCTGGTGGGTTTGAACCATCGACCTTTCACTGTGAAAATCCAAATGGCATGCTGCTTGTGTTGGGGAGCTAGCCTCGTCCTGGGAGAGGCACTCAGTGGGAGCAGGTGTGCCCGCGTGTGCTGTGAGCCACCCTCTGGGTGCCTTGCCAGGATTTCTCAAGCTCACGTGGCATGGGTGACCCTGGCCCAGCAGGTCGGCATTGGCATCGACCCGCCTTGTGGTTTAGATTCTGTTGTGTAGGAGGCCCTTGTAGATTACTGCCCTTTGAAATCAGATGTTTGGGATGATGGAGGGTAGGTTGTGTGTAACTAGGTGATTAAAGTAGCAAATTCAATTCTGCCCTCACCATGTCCCAGAATCGTCATCGTGAACACGTGTGTAGGTGTGCGTGCAGACATGTGTGTAGGTGTGCGTGCAGATGCCTGTGTAGGTGTGCGTGCATATGCGTGTGTAGGTGTGTGTGTAGACGCATGTGTAGATGTGTGTGTAGACGCGTGTGTAGGTTTGCGTGTAGACGTGTGTGTAGGTGTGTGCGCAGATGTGTGTAGATGTGCATGCAGACACGTTTGTAGATGTGCATGCAGACGCATGTGTAGGTGTGCGTGTAGACGCGTGTGTAGGTGTGCGTGCAGATGCGTGTGTAAATGTGCATGCAGACGTGTGTAGATGTGCGTGTGGACATGTGTGTAGATGTGCGTGTAGACGTGTGTGTAGATGTGCCTCTGGGTGTTTGGGTTGGTGCTGTCAGATGTGCGTGTAGATGCATGTGTAGGTGTGCATGTAGATGCGTGTGTAGATGTGCATGTAGACGCGTGTGTAGGTGTGTGTGCAGATGTGTGTGTAAATGTGCATGCAGACGTGTGTGTAGATGTGCGTGCGGACGTGTGTGTAGATGTGCGTGTGGACGTGTGTGTAGATGTGCGTGTGGACGTGTGTGTAGATGTGCCTCTGGGTGTTTGGGTTGGTGCTGTCAGATGTGCGTGTGTAGGTGTGCATGTGCACGTGTGTGTAGATGCGTGTGTAGATGCGTGTGTAGATGCGTGTATAGATGTGCGTGTAGACGTGTGTGTAGGTGTGCGTGTAGACGTGTGTAGGTGTGCGCGCAGATGTGTGTAGATGTGCATGCAGACACGTGTGTAGATGTGCGTGTAGACATGTGTAGATGTGCATGCAGACACGTGTGTAGGTGTGCGTGTGGACGTGTGTGTAGTGTGTGCGCAGATGTGTGTAGATGTGCATGCAGACACGTGGTAGGTGTGCGTGCAGACACGTTTGTAGATGTGCATGCAGACGCATGTGTAGGTGTGCATTTAGACGTGTGTGTGGGTGTGCGTGTAGATGCGTGTGTAGGTGTGCATGCAGATGCGTGTGTAAATGTGCATGCAGACGTGTGTGTAGATGTGCGTGTGGACGTGTGTGTAGATGTGCCTCTGGGTGTTTGGGTTGGTGCTGTCAGATGTGCGTGTGTTGATGTGCATGTAGATGCGTGTGGATGTGTGCATGTAGATGCGTGTGTAGGTGTGTGTGTACACGTGTGTAGATGTGCGTGTAGATGTGTGTGTAGATGTGCGTGTAGACGTGTGTGTAGGTATGTGCGCAGATGTGTGTAGAATGTGCATGCAGACACGTGTGTAGGTGTGCGTGCAGACACGTTTGTAGATGTGCATGCAGACGCATGTGTAAGTGTGCTTTTAGACGCGTGTGTAGGTGTGCGTGTAGACACGTGTGTAGGTGTGCGTGCAGATGCGTGTGTAAATGTGCATGCAGACGTGTGTGTAGATGTGTCTCTGGGTGTTTGGGTTGGTGCTGTAAGCATCTTCTATAATTCTCACACAGAGGCTGCCGTGACTGCCTCGTGGCTCTTTGTGGTGCCTGACAGTGCCTGGCGTGTCAGTCGTGCATGCTTCGTGACAGCCTTGTGTCGTACTTGCAGGCAGCAGAGAGGACAGTGGGCCCACAGGTGCCCACAGGTCCTTCCCGGGCTCTGATCCATGGGTTCCTCTTATTCTCTCACACAGTTGGCAGCCTCAGCTGCTAAGAGGCGAGTGAGAGAGCAGGGAGCGGACGGGGTTGCCTCACGCTGGAGAACGCACGCCTGTCCCAAGGTGCTGTTCGTTGCTGGTCCAGCAGCTTGGTGCGAGCATGGGCTGTGTCTACAGTCTGATGTGGCCATGCTCAGCTAGTGCCCCAGTCTCCTTGTTTTTTGTGCTGATTTTAAACATCTCTTGTTGTTGTTAAGTACCGTGGAGTTGGTTCCAACCCATAGCGACCCTGTACAGGGTTTCCGAGGCTGTAAATCTTTACGGGGGTAGAAAGCCTAACCTTTCTCCCGTGGAGTGGTTGGTAGTTTCAAACTGCCAACCTTGAGATTGCAGCCCGATTCATAACCATTACACTATCACTAGAGGCTGTGAATTTGTTTCCGAAACAATCTGTTGTTGTTAACTGCCGTCGAGTCAGTTCTGACTCATAGTGATCCTGTATAGGGTGTCTGAGGAGCAGCTGGTGAATTTGAACCACTGACCTATGGTTCAAACCGACCTTGTGGTCCTATGTTTATTCTACAGTGCCACATCAGGACTCCATACAGAATTTCATAATAATGACTACAGAATTTTCTGCAGAAATCTCTTCCGGAGCTTTCCAGACACCTCCATTTTGGACTCTTGCTGTCTGAGTGCCCACCTGAGTACTGATATTGTATTGTTTCACTGTTCCTCTGGAGGTTCTCACCTCCTCTCCTGTGTGGGACCCTTGCTTTTTGTCCCCGTGAATGAATTTCTCATATTGAGAGAACCCATCATCCTCTGATGGCCCTCCAGGAAAGGGGACCTGGAAGAAAACTGTTTTGAGCTGAGAACATCTGAAAACGGTCTTCAGTCTTCACACCCCCACATGGGTAGTTTGGCTAGGTATAGGATTCTTGGTTATAAAGTTTTCTCCACTAGAACTGGGAAGGTTTAAAACAACAGAAATTGTCACATCTTTCTTCCAGCATTCTTGTTCGATTTCACCCTAATTCCTGATATCATAGCAATGTGTACCAAGTAGACGCTTTCCATCTGCCGTCCTCTGTCTCATCTTTGGGGAACCTGCTTGACTTGGTCCTTTTCTTGGTCTTCCTTTTGGTTTTCTTGGTTTACTTTGCCTGTTCCATGTCTCTTTTCTCCTTTTTCCATTAATTGATTTTGTTTTTGTTTTTGTTTTTGTTTTGGGAGTGTGCCTAAACTTTTCCTTCCAGCCAAGTCTTTTCATGTCTTTAATTTCTGAGCATGTAATGTAGTATCCCAGTCTTCACGGATGCTCCAGCTTCTCCTGTCTCTGCAGAAAGTAGAGTAGGTTTTGAGTGCATTTCTCTTGTGGTTTGCCCTTTTCTTATGTTGTGATCTCTGTTGGCGCTATTCCATTGTCAGGTTGATGATGTGATTTACTAATTCAGGTAACTCTGGATAACTAGCAACATGTAAGCAGGTATATAGCTAGCAAGCTGCTGAATGAATTCTTGATTATTCTAAGAGGTTACAAGATAGAAGGGAAGGAACGAAAAACAAATGGAGCAAATAGAAAACATGCTAAGGTGGTAGAATTAGACTAAAATATATCAGGAGAAGCATTGGACTTCTAAGTGTATGGTGAGCAGTTCAAACCCACCAGCTGCTCCTCAGGGAACTGACTTCATAGCACTGACTAACTTCACAGGAGTCCTGGTGTGGCACTGTGGGTTAATGTGCTGAACCGCAAGGTCGGTGGTTCAAGCTCCTCGGAAACCCCGGCGCCACAGCACTTAACAACAATAACTTAACAACAACCCTTTAGCCAGTAAATTTTTATCCCTTCCCTCCCACCCCTGTTATTGTTGTTAGGACCCTTAGCGGGGTTAGGCAAACCAGCAGAACACTGCTCTACCCTGCACCATCTCACAGTGGTTGTGTTTGAGCCCACTGCTGCTGCGACGCTGTGTCGAGCTGTCGCAGCTTCACCTTTTCTCGCTGACCCTCTACTTCACCTTCTCCAGGGACTAGTCCCTCCCGATAACACGTCTGAAAAGTCTGCGGCAAGGTAAAGTCGCACCATTCCGGATTCTAAGGAGCGTTCTGGCTGCACTTCTTCCCGCACATTTTGGTCTTCTGGCAGCCCATGGGACTTTTAATATTCTTCTCCAAGACCATAGCTCAAATGCAGCAATTCTTCTTGATTAAATTTAAATAGATGAAATTTACCGATCTAGAACAAATATTTTTAAATGTGTAAAATAAAAAAAAACCTTAAATCCATAATTATATGCTATTTACAAGAGGCACACCTTAATCAAGAAGGACTGAATTTACAAAA